AAAAGCACTTGACTATAATATTTTGACTTGTTAGGTGTGTATACACTTTCTTCAAAATAATTCTTTAACTTATGAAACCAAATAACCTGAAGAATGAGTAAGATTTAAAAACAAACAAACAAAAAACAGAGCCAAACTTACAAGTGTCTTAAAAACAAGTTCAGGTGCTTGGTTACCTGCTTTAGAATCAGATAAGTGATAAGCTCCTTCATGGACGAATGCATATGCTGCGTATGGTACTTTAATTGGAAACTGAAGTTATATATCCTTTAAAAGCTTTAAAACTGCCCTCTGCTTGCATTATTTTACAGTAATAATAAATACACAGGTCTGTTCAGCTGTTACTGCTCCAACTAGTGTTAATCATTTTGGAAACATGTATGTATGTGTACGTATATATGTAGATGTGTATATACATCATATACATGACAAATTAATAACAGCCTAATTCTTTAATATATTGGAGCTATCAATTTAAAGAAGTACTCATTGAGAAAAACTTAGATTCCCTTAAAATGGGGGCTAGAGGGAATTTTTTTATTTTTTATTCTTAAGGTGATGTACAGAGGCTTTACAGTTATGCAAGTCAGGTAAATAAGTACATTTCATTTTGGACAATGCACTCTTTCCTTACTCTCCCAAGGAAATATTTTTAAATGAAAACTAGCTGGTAGTTTTGGTTTTCATAATATTTATTTGAAATAGTTGTGTGTTGTTTTAGTTGAAGGCATTTTTATAATTTTAAGTGTTTCTTCCCATTTAAAAAGGGCATCTTTAGATTCCTTCCACCCCCGGCGAGTTTGTCTTTTGAGTGATTAATCCTACCCTTTCTTCAAAGTACAAATCTTTCCTTGTAAGAGCAGTACCTCTGGTTTTTAACAGCAGTTCTCTGCCAGAGGTCACCATAAATCTGGAGGCACCAGCCCCGGTAGGACTTTCAGCTAAGTTGCTTTCCCTTATGTGTTTTTTTTTTCCTTTTAGTCTTTTGAAAAGGAAAATTTTAAAACCTTTTTTCTGTCTAGTGTGTCTTTATACTATATTTTTCATTGCATGTTGTACTTTTAAAAAAATTTTCACCTTTAGATTCAGAAACCCCTCACCTATGGCAGGAGTTATGTTCCAGAGACCCCCACAATAGGTGAAAATATGTGAAGTAGCAGTGTTAAATTTATTATTTATATATATATATATTAAGGCTTTATCAACCCTTCCCATTCTCCTATAAACGTTTCCCACACTCTTACTAACTTTTAATTAACACTTTCATATTTTTATAGTTTTAATTTTTTAGGCAAAAACAAAGTCATAAATACATAAATACCTACATACCGCAAAATCCCATGATACAGTGTGTGACGACTGTACTTGAAGAAAGAACTTAGCCATTAGATAGCTGAGAGTAAATGCTAGGACAAAAGACTGCTTTTACTTCTATGTGAGAATATACATTTCTTCTTGTTCATTTAACCAAGACCACTATTCATGATTTCATTTCATAGTACACTGAATAAGCAGCTCATTTCAAAGTATAAAAGTATATTAAAAGCTGTTCTAAAGTATTACCTGTGACAAAAATATAACTCATTTTAACCTCTATAGAAATAATCCTCAAAACAGTGAATAATGAAAATGAGCATATTCACCCACTCGAAGTGGTTTATAAATTAAAAAAAAAAATTCTTACCTCAAGTGATACTGGAAGCTACTAGTTACTCAGGCTGAGATCTAAAAATCATAGTTTAAAGCCAGCCTGGGCAGGAAAAGCCATGAGACTCTTATATCCAGTTAACTACCAAAAACTGGAATGAGAACTGTGACTCAAATGGTACAGCACTAGCCTTGAACAAGAACAGCAGAAAATTCCAAGGACAGTGCTCAGACCCTGAGTTCAAGCCTCAGGTATTGGCACAAGTTAAAAGAGAGTGATAGTAGAAAGGGAACTAAAGGTCCGGTGCAGTCCTGCTACATTGTGACTGTACAACTAGGTGCTGCAATTATTCTATTGCTGCAGTGCTTGTTTTATTCACATTAAAAGAAAGCACTAAACCTAATTTTCAGATATTGCTGAATCTTTTCTAAATTGTTAAATTGCATTACATCAAGAAAAGCCTCAAATATTTACCTATGAATCTTTCATTTTCTTTTAAGCATTTTATATTTTTCTGCAGAAATAATACTTTGTAGTTTGACTTAAATGACAGATTAGCATCAGCAGAAAAAAAAATGAAGTCTACCCACCCTATCATCTTGAAGATGTGGCTTCTTTTTAGTATGCTATTTGTTAGTATGTTATTTTTTTCCAAGAAACTTTTTATGAACTGTTTCAAGTTGAGAATTTCCATGTATTCCCTGCCCCTATGGCCATAGTCTTTGGCATTTATCAGCCTCACTCATCAGGATGGTTTTATTACAATGAATGAATCCACATTGCCATATCATTTTTCTCCTAGTCCATGGCTTACATTAAGGTTTCACTTGGTGGTTTAGATTCCATAGGATTTCACAGATGAATGATAATATTTCACTGTTGTAAAGAATTGTTCCAATAATGGAACAATTGGAATGGCAATATGTTAGAATGATTATCTTATTTCAAATTTATGACAAGATACATATGATAGTGTGTGATACACGGAGAATTCTATATATGTTTTGCTCTTTACTCCACATACTTGTTAAGAGAGCAGGTCTGGGATGTATTTCAGTAGTAGAGTGTATGCTTAGCATGCATGAGGTCCTGGGTTCAGTCCTCAACACTGAAAAATGAAAAAGAAACACCATCTTAGGTGGGGGCCAGTGGGTCACACCTGTAATCCTGTTGGCTTACTTTAAAATATATTGCAAGAGTGAAAAGTGACAATAAGATGACTTTCTAAAAACAGTATTCTGAAATGACATTTGCCTACTTCTTGGGTTTGTTAGTGACTGATGTGGACAAAATTAGATGCTCTGCAGGTCAGCTACCTTTTTTCCTTTTTCATAAGAGAAAACAGTTTGAGACTTAATACAGTATATTAACTCTAAACAAAGTTAAAGTATTAACAAAGTAGAGTATATTAAATGATTCCTGCCTCCAGTTGTGTTACTTATTGGTTCAATCATTGATGAATTTACTTTTGCTAAGTGTGTGGAGTAGACTGAACTAGAAGAAACACCATTTTATTAGCATAGGATACACTGCTTACATTGAGTCAAAGTAATGCTACCTTCTTTTTATATATTACTGATTTTAATATTTAAGTTGTTGTAGGAAGAACAGTTTTTGTCTTATAGACTTTTCATCTGTGAGACTTCTGATTTTCACCAAAAACTTACTTTTGTTTATGTGTGAGAGAGCTAATTAAATTTCAACTTAAGTAAGTGTCCTGAATTGAGAATCATATCACTGGAATATTTATTCTTTATATAACTTATAAGTTTCTTTAATGAAATGTCCATACATACCATAAACTCCTTAATAGAACTTTAACAGCTTTGGTCGTCCAGGAGTAGAATGTTACTGCCAGCATGACAGCGGAGCTGCAGTGATCCAGCTCCAGTTCCTGATTAATGAGGTAAGTGAATTGTTTTCTTCTCTCTGCTTGGAGCTGAAATTGGGCCATGTCTCCTCTCAGATTTCTTTCATGCAGTCATATTTAAATATTTGAACAAAAGGTAATTACTTCTGGGTCAGAAATAATAGTAATTCATTTTAAGGCATCACAAAGAGTTGTATTATATTTTCTTTAAACAGTTTTGCAAATAGAATGATATAAGGTAAATATTTTTGGTACAAGATGCTGTACTTGTTTTATTTCAGGGATGTTGTAATTTATATAGGTCTATAGTACAATTTTATTAGAAATTGAACTTAATATAGGTTACAGAATGCATTTTAGTGAATTGCTTTAATCTACAACCAGGAAACCAGCTTCTATTAGAAAATGACTACTGCTTCAAATGACTACTGCTTAACAACAAAAGTTGTGATTATGGTTCAAGTCACTGATTCTTTTCTTTTTGCTAAAAATGTGAAGTATAGACAGAGCTTTAAGAAACATCATTTTATTAATAAGCACAGGAAACAATGTGCTTACAGATTTTAAATATATGTACTCAGATAACGATGGAAGGGATGGCATTGATCAAGATGCATTTTATTCATAACCTGACATAGAATTATAAACTCTTTGTACTCCTGCTTAATAATAAATGACATATACATACACACATAGATGTTTATTGCAGGTAATGACAGGTGTGGATAGCTGGTCAAAGAAGGAAGACAGAGTACTCAAGAAAAAGTTTCTCTTTCTGTATGAGGATAGTTGTGAAAATGATTATTATTCCAAATCCTTAAGATTCATGAAATAAACTCATAGGTATATGAGAAAATGCTGAATACTTCTGGCTTTTGATAAGTCTTCACATCAGGATTTAAGAAAGGCACTATTAGTGTAAAAATGCTGATAATGATTATAAGAACAAATTAAGTAAAATTGTGATCCAAATAACATTTTACTATATAGGTTTTCCATAAGAGGAAAACAGACATAATAGACTACTTCCTAGTGAAAAAGAGTGTGTGGGGGGACTTTGTCTATTTCTGCTCCAGTTGTTATGTTGTATAGCAAATTGGCTACACAATAGAGAAGTCCATGGAGAACTTTGTACAACTTGGAGAAATCATGTAAATCTTACTTAAACAACTACTTTAATCTTCCTGGAGAAATGAACAACTATTTAAAACATTTTTAACATTTTTCATAATAATTTAAAGGGTTAGATTTTTAAAATCTTTTTTGAAATTAAATTCTTCATGCTTTAGCTCTTGTCCTAGTCTTCTCTGAGTCTAGATAAAGGGTACCTGAGCACTCTTTTGAGAAAAAAACATTTAGATATCTTAATAAGTCAACTCTTAGCCAAGAGATTCTTCATCTTACATATCACAAGCACCTCTTGAGATAATAAAAATTTCAACTGCATAGATCCTTGCTCTAAAAATTCTGATTTGTTGTGTCTGGTGAGACAGAACTACCTTAATGATTCTCCCTATATCTGGCAATTTTCTTCTTCTTCATGAATAATAGTATTTAATAGTATAAGGTGTTTTTTACTTTCTAAATTAGATATCCCAACTACTCAGACACAGAGTTACAATATGCCATATGCTACCTTTGTTCTCTAGTTGTTGGAAGAAAATATAGATATTAATCTTTTAAAAAATGTATTGTAATGCTGATGTACACAGAGGGATTACAGTTCCATGAATCAGGTAATGAATGCATTTCTGTTCAAACAGTGTCACCCCCTCCCTTATTCTCTTCAGTTTTTCTCTTCCCAACTTCTCTCCTCCCAAAGCCATATAGTTCATTTCCAACATAATATCTAGTGGGTTTCACTGCTGAACTGGTTCACCTATTGTCTCACCATTTTTGTGCTTACCCTTCTCCTCCCCAAATCAGATAAATTTATATGCAAGACATGGGTTACAGAAATCATACATATCAACAGAAGGGAATAAACCAAAGAAAAAAAGGAAAGAAGAAAAGAAAAAAACCTGCAAACAGCACAATTAAAAAAAATCTCTTGCTTCTATTTCTTGGAGTTCATTTTTTTTTGTCTGTTGTGGGGCTTGAGCTCTGGGCCTGTGTGCTGCCCCTCAGCTCTTTAGCTCAGGGTGAGTGCTCTACCACTTTTAGCCACAACTCTGCTTCTGGTTTTTTTGGTGGTTAATTGGAGATGAGAGTCTCGTGGACTTACCTGCCCAGGCTGGCTTTGAACAGCAATCCTCAGTTCTCAGGCTCTTGAGTAGCTAAGATCACAGGTGTGAGCGACCAGCACCTGGCAATAATCATCATTTTATATGATCATATATACATAGTTTTTGAGTCATTGTGATCCTTCCTAAGGGATATCCTGCTGTTTAATTAATCCTGTACAGGTGTAATTATCTGTCTTTCATCCTTTGGTTTTACTTGAAGATTTATAGGCACATTCTAATTACTACAAATGAGGGAAACCATGTAGCCTTTAAGTCTGGCTTACTTCGTTTAGTATCTTTTTTTTTCTAAGTCTTTCCATTTCCTTATGAATGGGGCAATGTCACTCTTTTTGATGAAAAGAAATTGTGCATATTGCATATATATATCTATCTATCACATTTTCTTGACCCATTCGTCTATTGAGAGGCATCTGGATTGATTCCATATCTTGGCTATGGTAAACAATGCTGTAATGAACAGGGTTGTACTGGTGGCTTTAGTGTAGTATGGTTTGTGGTCATTTGAATAAACGCCCAGAAGTGGGAGTGCTGGGTCATAGGGAAGCTCCCTGTTTAATCTTTTTTTTTTTTTTTGGGTCCGGTTGTGGGGCCTGAACTCTGGGCCTGGGCACTGTCCCTCAGCTCTTCAGCTCAAGGCTAGCACTCTACCACTTGAGCCACAGCGCGACTTCCGGCTTTTTTCTTTTTGCTTATGTGGTGCTGAGGAATCGAACCCAGGGCCTCAGGCATACAAGGCAAGCACTCTACCACTGAGCCACTTTCCCAGCCCCCCCTGTTTAATCTTTTGAGGAAACTCTTACTACTTTCCAAAGTGGTTGAACAATTTTATATTTCCGATAACATTGTAGTAGGGTTTTCTTTTGGCCACATCCCTGCCAGCATCTGTTATTGTTTCTTGATGATGAGCTGGGGTGAGGTAGAATCTCAATGTGGTATAGACCTTCCTTCCTTCCTTCCTTCCTTCCTTCTAGTGGTTTATTGGAGATATGAGTCTCATGGACTTTCTTGCCCAGCCTGGCTTTGAACTGTGATCCTCAGATCTCAGCCTCCTGAGTAACTAGGATTATGGCGTGAGACATTGGCACCCAGCAGATCTACATTTCTTTTATGGCCAGAGATGTCAAATATTTCTTTGTGTGTCCATTGCCATTCTTATTTCTTCTTCAGAAAAGTCTCTCTTTAAGTCTTTAGCCCTTTTATTAATTGGGTTGTTGTGTATTTGAGAGTTTGTTTTTTGTGGGTTTAATATTTTTGAGTTGTAAGTGTATTTTAGATATGAGACCCTTGTCTGATGCATAGCTGGTAAAAGAATCTTCTCTCATTCTATGGGCTTTGTATTTATCTTGCTAGATATGTCCTTTACCATGCAGAAACTCTTCAGTTTGATGCATCCTATTTCTCTAGTGTTTTCTTTGATTTTTTGTGATTCTAGATTTTTACTTAGGAAGTTTTTTTTTTGTTTGATTTTTTTGGGTCCAGTCATGGGGCCTGAACTCTGGGCCTGGGTGCTGTCCCTCAGCTCTTCAGCTCAAGGCTAGCGCTCTACCACTTGAGCCACAGCGCTACTTCGGCTTTTTTTCTTTTTGCTTATGTGGTGCTGAGAAATTGAACCCAGGGCCTCATGCATGCAAGGCAAGCGCTCTACCACTGAGCCACCTTCCCAGCCCCACTTAGGAAGTTTTGACCTGTGCCAAGGAGTGTTGCTTCTATCCCTTCCTGTTCTATTTTTAGGTTATCTGGTCTTACATTGACATCTTTGATCAATTTGGAGTTGATTTTGGTGCAGGATCTAATGTCACTTTTCTTCAATATAGCCAATGGGTATTAATCTTTTATTACAATTTGTCTTACATAAATTAAACTTGAGATCATTTTGCTTTAGTCAAAAAATATGTCCATTATTGATCATGTAATTTATTATCTTAAATAGCTATCTCAACCATACAATCTCACAGATCCTAGCATACTTTCAGTTTCTTAGATATTAAATTATATTTTAGGTTATTGAAAACATTAAAGCATTTTACACATATATAATAAATTGTTCTATCTACTTTGTCAAATTTGGATAAATGTTCCTTAGAAATAAACATCTTGGCACTGACTTGAAATCTGAGATAGTGTTCTGGCAGCGAAATGAACTACCAGTGCTTATAAACTATGTCATACATGATATATTCTTTGTTTTCAAGGGCGCACTTGTGAGTGCATTGGCTGATGACACCTTACACTTATGGAATTTACGTCAGAAAAGGCCTGCCATACTACATTCACTTAAATTTTGCCGAGAAAGGTAAGAATTACCTCAGTATTCCTTTATATGGGATATTTTCTATTCTGTTTTAATCTATTCTTTTTACTTTTACTTTTTGTTATGGGCTTCATGTACATTCTAAAAAATAATTGCTACATCAAAAGATATAAAATGATAGCAAAATTCCTCCCTTTCCAGGCTTCTGCTTTTCTTAGTCTATATCTTGCCAAAGGAGACAGGTTATCTAAGTGACTTTATTTGAGTCATGTTTATACTTCTTGCCAGGCAGATGTGAAGGTAGAATTCATAGGAGAGATGGGTGGGGTGGGAGGAAGAATTCAGCAGAATTTAGTTGTTTCCTACCTTTGAGAACCACATAAATTTCTTTAGACTTTTCTATCTGTATATAAAAATGAAAATATAGAGCTCCCTTTTTTATAAGGGAAACCATTACATAGTACTACTATATTACATGGTAATGGTTTCAGTTAACAGCATATTCAATAAAGTTACTTACAGGGCTGGGAAGGTGGCTCAGTGGTGGAGCCCTTGCCTTGCATGCATGAAGCCCTTGGTTCGATTCCTCAGCACCACATAAGCAGAAAAAAAAAAAAGCCAGAAGTGGCGCTGTGGCTCAAGTGGTAGAGTGCTAGCTTTGAGCTGAAGAGCTGAGGGACAGCGCCCAAGCCCAGAGTTCAGGCCCCATGACCGGACCCAAAAAAAAAAAAAATAATAAAGTTACTAACATTGACATATAAGTTATCTTCAGCCATTTTCATAGCTATGTACTATTCCATTGTGTGGGAGAACCATAATTCATTCAGTCTTTATCAATGGACATTTATCTCATTTTTCAATCTGCCATTTGTTTCCCTTTATTATGACCTGGTACATAGGTGACTATATCTATATGTACATATATATCTGCAAGATAAATCTGTGTGAGTGGAATAGCTTAGACAGATGAATCTCTTTTAATATGACTTGTGAACTTTTGAGTTTTGATTGAAATTACTTTTTTACCCTAATTTTATTAAAAACTTGTTTTACATATTTTTTTCTTTGTGGTATTTTGCTTTGTTTGTTACTAGAGTCTGAACTTGGAGCCTTTTTCTTCCACTTGAGCCATACCTCTAGCCTTTCATATATTTCAGATAGAATCTCATGCTTTTATACATAGGCTTACCACAGACTGATTCTTCTATGCCTCTTGTGTAGTTGTATGCATGCCTAGTTTGTTTCTTGAAATGGGAACCTCATTAGCTTTATGACGTGGCTGGTTTTAAACTGCAATCCTCCCAATTTCTCCCTTCTGAAGAGCTGGAATTACAAGTGTGAGCCTTTGTACCCAGCTCCCCATATGTTCTTATGGAACTCTTACATTTTCATGTTGTGATACTACACTTTGATTCATACTGGAATTTGTTTGATGTGAAGCAAGAGTAAGGATACAGTCTAGCAATCCTCTATAGCTTATGATGCTTTTTTTGTATATTACATTTATGTAGTTGGCATTGGAGACGTTTTTTACGTTTTGTCCAAAATCACACCATATTCCTGGTATAATAAATGTAAGTTAGCCTGTCTAGGTATATGTACAGATTCATCTGTGATTCTCAGCTTCTGCCTTGTGTGACCCTCCAAACAAGGCAAGCTTAAGAAGAAATAAAGAAATATAACAGTTCACATTTTTCCAGCTAACTCCAGGTTCTGTCTACCTTATATGGGAGGGAGGGAGCACATAGACCAGATCTGGAATGAGATTAGTATTAGTTTGCTGTCTGAGAACATAAATTTGGGCTGTGGTAAACAAGAAACTATAGCAGGAGTAAGAGATTTTGGAATAACTCCTCTGAATGAAATTTCTAGAATGACTAGAAACTTACGTGGCAGTGATTATCCTTAAAATGCCAAGGAATAGGCCCTGCTTTCTGGGTGAAACTTGCTCTGTTTTCTCAAAGTGGAAGATTGTATCCATTGGCTACAAGGATAGAGGAGACATTTGGAAGATTGTAGTTTTCTTGGGTATTTGGCTGCTCGTGGTGAAGGAAGATAGACAAAAGATTTTGTCCCCAGTTCTAGGGATCCGCCCATATCAGCAGTGCATCTCTCCCCAGTCCCAGCTCTGTATTAAGCTCAAGACTTCTCTATTGCTTTGGTGGAACTTTGCCAGAGCAGAAGGGAGAGAATCCTGTCATTCCTTGTCCACCTTCCCATGCTCCATGTGTGGGAATCTCTCCATTTCTTTGTACAGCCACTGTATAATCAGGATAGAGTCTGGGTTGGGCTGTGGTACCATACTCAAAATCTTATGACATAATACACTTATTTGTTATATCCATGAATTCGTATGACTGGTATTCTCAACGATGTTAAATTTTTGCATGAGATTTGAAATAACAGTGTAAAGCAATTTGAAGACTAATTATGTATGTGTAGATGTTCTTATTTAGACACATATAAATACAGTTATATTTGTATAGCTATATACACATACACACATATACAAATGGCTATTTCGTTTGCTGATTGATACCTTTTTAAAATTTTGAGAATAAAGATGTATACAGCCAAAAGTAAAGGAAAATACAGTATTTCATGAAATATATTAATAATCAAAATTTTATTATATTATCTTAAATATCATTGGAGCACCCTTTTCTTAAAAGAAATCTTGAAAAGAACAGTTTTTGGCCAGTGGCGTGGTGCAGTGAGAACACACAGTGAGTGCGTGTGCTCAGGAGCTGGTTGCTATCCTCGCATCAGATTGTCTTAGCAATATAAATAGCATAGAAACAAAAACTATTATTATTTGATTATAATGTATCTAATACTGTGCTTTGCATATTTATAAAGCTTCTAATGTGCTCAACAGTCACATGAATGGGGAAAAATTAAGATAGTTATTAAAGAATATTTGGCCAAAGTACCATTCCTAAAAATATCTATACAGATCTTTCAAAGACTTTGAATTAATTTACTGCACATATGAAGAAGAAAATCACAATATTGGAACAAATTAAATACCTGAGATTACATTTTGTGTGAAAATTGCATCATATTCTCAAAATACTTTCCTTGAAAACAGTGTAATGAAAAGGGTACAAGCATTAGACATGGGAGTGGTTTGATATGATGAAATTAAAGACTAGAATACAAAAGTAGAGTGATACCCAGGGCTATTAGCAAGACAGACAGGGGATATACTCCTTTATTTGACCCAACAAAGAAAATTGGTTGTTGCTGTGGAAAGGATGAGTTATCTTGAAAGTTTTTTGTATTCAGATAAATTTTTAAAAGAAGAAAGGAAAAAACTTAATGTTCAGAGAAAAGATTTTGAAACTGGAAAAGGAAAAATGGTAAAGAAGTATTGAATAATTTCATAGAGTAATTGCCCATAATAACTAAAACATTTGGATAAGGAAACTGTTACCCCACAAGTGGAGATACTGCTAGTGAAAGCTCAGGAGTGAGTGAGGAACATGTTATTTGAAACTGGAGGAAGTGCTCCTTTGCTGTCCAGGGAGTGAAAGCTGAACAGAACATTCTCCTTCAGAATCTCAGTGATTAACTTATATATTTAGTTCAGATTTCCAAGGAAGTGTGACCTGATTTTTTTCCCTTTCTGCTTGATGGTAAATTGCAAAAAAGAGAGAAAGAAAGAGACAGATGTGGGGGGGGTAGAGGAGAGAAAAAGATGGGGGGGTAGAGAAAACCATGAGAATGAAGCTATACAACCCTTTATTTAAAATCTCTTATAGACCAAAAAGGCAGGGTATATGATTGTGTAGTAAGTCTATTGGGTGTGCTTACATGGACCCAAGTCAACTAGAGAAACTCTAGGAATTTTAAAAATAGCCTACTGGCACAGCAAGGGCCAAATAAGAGATTGTCCTGAAAGATTTGTGGGTATGACTTTTGTCTAATGAAATTCTGTGTATTTTAAAAACCACCAAGTTTCTTGAGAAAGTTGTTTCAGTAACTTTAGTAGCTTCAGCCTCACAGGATAGAAAAGAGGCTACAGCCACAAGTATGTTGATTTAAAAAAAAAAATACTCACAAACAAGTACTGCCTTCCTTGAAAAAAAATGCCAGTTACTTTACTAGCTTCATGACTGGCTATAATTTTTTTTGTTTATAATTTTACTCCTAGCAGTGGTTCCCATGCCTCACCTAGTTAATGCTCTCTCTCTCTCTCTAATATATATATGTGTGTGTATATATATATATATATATGTATATGTGTGTGTGTGTGTGTGTATATATATATATATATATATATATATATAAATTGACTTGTTAATAGCTTTTTGCCTCTGTAAAAAGTAGGGAGATCCCTCATTTACAGAAACCAGGTAACTGCACTGTAGTATTGATTCCTTGGGATTTGGAAGAAAGAACCTTCAAGCAAACAATAAAATGTATTGGCTTCAGGCTAATTTTGTATATAATCTTTATTCCTTCAAACAGATCCAAAATTAGCTTGGTACTTGACTTTCCTTGGTCTGTTATTATGTTTGTTTGTTCATTTATTTGTGTGTTTATTTATAAAGATAAGCTGGGAGAAAGTTTTGAGCAAAGTTTTTCTTTTTACTAATCCCCTATACTTAGGAGGTATAGCAGACTAACAGTTTGTGGTGATTTTTAAGATGGAGATGAAAGCTTTACATATTCTCTTTTTCCCTCCATACTGTCATGGTGAGAATTTGTAGAACAGTGTTTTTGATGCTATTGTTAGTGTACCTTAGTTCTCATTTTTAATATTGCTTCTAGGGCTTTTCTATTCACTAGATGTTTTCCGCTTATATAGTCTGTTGCTTTAAGAGAGAATTATTTTCTTTAGCAATTGGTTATCAGTTATAGGAGTTAGATTTTCTTTTTTCTTTTTTGGTCAAGGGGCTTTGAACTCAGGATTTGGGCTCTGTCCCTGAGCTCTTTTGCTCAAGGCTAGTGCTTTACCACTTTGAGCCACAGCTCTGCTTCTGGTTTTCTGGTGATTAATTGGAGATAAGAGCCTCAGAGACTTTCCTGCCCTGGCT